TAGTTGTATAAACGTTTATGCAACAGTTAAAAATTTGCCCTATAAGGTGTTGTATAACTATGCTATAAGAATATTTTAAACACCTTATTTTAGAGCAAATATGTTGCAGAAAGCAAATTTGCATTCCACACAACATTAAGCCAGCATTTTGATGTTCAGGCAACAACAATAGAGAGCTTTTATGGCTGAACGGTTCTTTTACCAAAAGCTTATACCACTACTTTGCTAGTTGGGATGACACTTGTGGCACATCGTTGGAAAGGAAATTTCACATAGAGTACGATTAAGGAAGAAAATAATACGTTTCCAATTGAAAAACGAAAGTCAATGTTACTTCCGGTTAAGCTGGAAGGTATAGATAACCCATTCCACTTTCTAGAAATACCTCTGAATGACTAACTAAACATGTCCCAATCTTGGAGGGATATCTTAAATTTGCTAAGAAATACAGAGATTTTCAAGTTTTCATTGTCACCCGGTATAGTCCAGACCGTAGTTTTTTCGCCACTCAGTTTGTGACCAGATTCCATTTAAGATGCGGGTCGTCGTGCGCCCCCAGGAATTTTGCAGATGGTGTATTCATACCATATATACATCGCCTAGCTTTTGTAGTGAGTACACCATCTGTTGAGTTTTGCTTTGATTTAGTAAGAAGTCCACTCGCATGCCTTAATATACTAAGTGACATATAAATCCGAACACCCAGTTTAAATGGTTTTATTTTAATAAAAGTTGGTGAATGTATTTATCTTACTGTAAATAACAAGTGAAAAAATTTTCAGCCTTATCAGTTGGACATTCCGGTTTTTATACTGCTTTTTTTTAATTCACTAACGCTCTAAAAATGAATATTTCAGCCGCAGTAAAGAATCAACGTTGGCGGATTTTGGTTCTTGACATCCTTTACGATCGGTTACGATGCCTAGAGTACGGAGACCTGTACGATTTCGTCAACTTAGTGAGTTTGATAGGGGCCGTATAGTGGGACTTCGGGAAGCTGGCCTTTCTTTTCGGGCAATTGCAGTTAGAGTGCAAAGAAGTGTAGACACTGTGGTTAGGTGTTGTCAGGCATGGCTTCGAGAAGGCCGTACGCAAAGAGCAAGGGGCACTGGACGCCGCCGTAGAACAACAGACCGTGAAGATCGCCGCCTAAGATTATTGGCCTTAAGGGACCGTTTCTCCTCTACCAGGTCCATTGCAAATGAATGGTTTGCAGAACACGGAAGACCTATTGGCATGCGAAGTGTTTACCGACGAATGAGAAGTTTTGGCTTGTTTTCATACCGGCCTCACTGGGTCCTCCCTTTAACTCGAGAACACCGACGTAATCGCCTTGAGTGGTGCAGACAACGGTCACTCTGGGATCAGGAATGGAATAGTATTGTCTTTAGTAACGAGTCTCGATTTTGTTTAGGCATGTACGATTGTCGTGCCAGGGTTAGAAGGCGACGTGGTGAAAGGAGGAATCCACAGTTTTTTGTTGAAAGACATGTTCATCACACGGTTGGAGTTATGGTTTGGGGTGCTATAGCTTATGGTTCCAGGTCACCTTTAATCTTCATCAGAGGTAACATGAACGCGCAGCGTTATATCCACGAAGTTCTAGAACCCCATCTTTTACCCTATCTTGACACCCTGGCAGATCCGACTTTCCAACAAGATAATGCCCGACCACATGTTGCAAGAGTCACAATAGACTTCTTTCAACATAATGATGTCACATTGTTACCATGGCCACCAAGATCTCCCGACTTATCCCCAATTGAGCACGTGTGGGATATAATGGGTAGGAGATTGCTCAATTTGCAACATCCTCCTCAGACTCTAGAAGCACTTCGAGAGGAGTTGGTGGTTGCCTGGAATGAGATACCACAGGAGGACATTGACCACCTGATCAGAAGCATGCCTAGGCGCGTTGGATAATGCGTAGCACATCAGGGTGCATCCACACATTATTAAAGGTCAAACGGCTTTAAAGCAGTGCAATCATTTTGAAATTTTTATCATTTACTTATTATGCTTCATTAAGTATTTATACAAAATTTTATTAAAATAAAACCATTTAAACTGGGTGTTTGGATTTATATGTCACTTAGTCAACTAGGGGCACGCTGTATATTTTGAGATGAACATTAACTATACTAGTTAAAACCGGCAAGAGTGCACTATTAAAAAGAGCAGTCCTTTATTAGTAAGTCGTCGTATTCAGTTCATTTGCAAGCGTCTTACAGTGCACGTGGTGTGGTGTAAACAAATTTAAGATGAAACATGGAGTTGTCTGGAGGGCGTTATCGCGCTATGATTTACCTTGACCTTAATGTCGGTTTAACTGAACATTAGTGAATCGAACGGTTACAACAGGCATTTGGCAATGTAGCTCCATCCCGGGCAAGTATGTTTCGCTGGTATACCGAATTTAAAAGAAGGCGTGTTTCATTGGCTGATGAAGAACGTAGTGGTAAGCCATGTTCTAGTGTGACTCCAGAAAACATTACTAAAGGTCAGCAGCTAATTGAAGAAGATTCTCGCTGCACATATGCGACTATAGAGGCAACTCTTGTGGTAGGATCCACAACAGCGCACACCATTTTGCATGATCATCTTCATTTAAAAAAAGCTGTTGCAGAGGTACAAACCTGCATCACGACAATGCCTCTAGCCACACGGCCCAAGTAACTATAGACTTTTTACGCCAGCGAAACATGAAAATGCTAGAAGATCCGCCTTATGCGCCAGATTGGGAATGTGTGACTTCTGGCTCTTCAAGAATTTGAAAAAAAATTTGCGAGGTCCAAAATTTTTGTCCGAAGAAGAAATCGATCAAGCAATTAATCAGTTTGTTGAAGGCATTCCAAAAAATAACTGGTTAGAAGCATTATTTGTGGTTAAAGAAGTGCATTGATGCTGGAGGAGAATACTTCAAACATAAATAAACTAGTTTTCGAAAAATAATTTTTAGTTTTCCTGTATCTCAAAATATATAGCGTGACCCTCGTATCAGACTATACGGCTTCCATTCCCAATATAGCTTCATCCAGAGAGCCTGCCAAAGGCAAGTCATTAGTGTACAACAGGAATAATATAGGACCGAATACTGAGCCCTGCGGAACTCCGACGGAAAGCTCCCTATTCTGAGACACCACTTCGCTTAACCTGACTACCTGGTTTCCAAATTCCAAATTGAGAGTTTGCAAGACAAGCATTTTCTTCCAAATAAGACACAAGCCTTAAGGTTTCTCAACTATACTAAGTGACATATAAATCCGAACACCCAGTTTAAATGGTTTTATTTTAATAAAAGTTGGTGAATGTATTTATCTAACTGTAAATAACAAGAGAAAAAATTTTCAGCCTTATCAGTTGGACATTCCGGTTTTTATACTGCTTTTTTTTTAATTCACTAACGCTCTAAAAATGAATATTGCAGCCGCAGTAAAGAATCAACGTTGGCGGATTTTGGTTCTTGACATCCTTTACCATCGGTTACGATGCCTAGAGTACGGAGACTTGTACGATTTCGTCAACTTGGTGAGTTTGATAGGGGCCGTATAGTGGGACTTATATCCACGAAGTTCTAGAACCCTATCTTTTACCCTATCTTGACACCCTGGCAGATCCAACTTTCCAACAAGATAATGCCCGACCACATGTTGCAAGAGTCACAATAGACTTCTTTCAACATAATGATGTCACATTGTTACCATGGCCACCAAGATCTCCCGACTTTTCCCCAATTGAGTACGTGTGGGATATGATGCAATGTCCTCCTCAGACTCTAGAAGCACTTCGAGAGGAGTTGGTGGTTGCCTGGAATGAGATACCACAGGAGGACATTGACCACCTGATCAGAAGCATGCCTAGGCGCGTTGGAGAATGCGTAGCACATCAGGGTGCATCCACACATTATTAAAGGTCAAAGGGCTTTAAAGCAGTGCAATCATTTTGAAATTTTTATCATTTACTTATTATGCTTCATTAAGTACTTATACAAAATTTTATTAAAATAAAACCATTTAAACTGGGTGTTCGAATTTATATGTCACTTAGTATATTTTAGCAATTATTGGAGGAAGACTGTGGTATGATAGATCTATAGTTGAAATTGCGTTCAAAATTCGGTTGTAGTATTAAAAATCAATAATTAGTTGCTATGACGATAAGTGACAATTATTATCGCCTGCAATTCAAAAAATACAACTTGAACGCTTAATAATCATAATAATAATTTAATTGTTCCATTACACAGAAATATGTTTGCACAAGTCAGTTAAAGCAGAACATAAAAGAGTATGTAAAAACAACAAACAATACGTAAATAAGATAAAAATGAAACACAAAGAGGTAATAAGGTGAACAATAAAAACAAAAATAAAATAAACAAGAAACAGAGATGGTTACAAAATTACAAAAGAGACTAAATACAATAAAAATTATGCCAGGCTGAAAAAAAAAATTAACTTCGTCTTCGACCCCAAAAAAAGCTTCACTTAGAGGGAAGCATTTCATAGTGTTGTCAAATTGTTCAACATCGAGAGATTTTATTTTATTTGGCAATAGGTTGTAGAATTTTTACCAGTGCTAGTTTCGAAAAGGCGATGATGATTTAGACCCAAATGTCCTTTGTTTGCGGTTTTGTAACTATGAATATCTTGAAGAGTTGCATAATTGTGAGAATAGTTTTAACATGCATGAGCCAAGCTTAGATGTATACACAAAGCAATGTCATGATATCCGATTTGATGAATTTACTTACTCACTGTGAAATGCAAACGTTAAATTCTCCATTGAACATTTCTTGAAGAAGCGTTATTGTTTGTTCGAAATCAAGGAGAGTCCGTTCCTCAAGAACGTTCATGACTTAATGTGACTCATAGTTTCCGAATCAGTCAATCAAATTGTAGCTAAGGCTTACTGGGAGTCCCAAGCGTAACCTTTTATTTTTTTGAATACTCTTAGTTTATAAATGCTCAAAAAGCTTTAAAATAACTCTGTGTACTTACCACAAGCAACATTGTGTACATAGAACCTGAGCGCTGAGTGTACTAGTACAGCTTTTAGATAAAACTGGTGTTGAGATCGAATCTTGAAAGTGAGAGTGAACAAGAAAGCTGGCTATTAAATATTACATAAAAAATCGCGATTTTTGGCGTGATCTAAAATGGATGCGAACTCGTGTTATGTCATACTGAGTGGGTATAAGCGGAGGCAGATTTCATATGTACTGTAACTGACCTAACTCATTTGACATAGATTGAATTTCATAAATTAGTAAAATCTAGAAATGATTAAATTGTAATGTTTATCTATTCTGTGAAATCCTTTTGGATCCTTGTATAAATGTATATTCTCCGTCTACTAGGATAGTAGAAACAGTCAGTTATAAGCAAAAAATAAAGAGTTTTAGATTCTTAAACTTGACTGCTTTTGTTTTTAGAGTTTCTGTTCTCTTTTGGGTGTAGTCAATAACATTTCTTTAGAACTGAATGTTTTCGAAAAATTTATACTCGGGTTTTCGACTTATTTCACATTAAAATCCAGAAAAATTGTAATAGATAATTTGAGAAAGAAAAACAATATTAAAAAATTGATCTTTTATTTATCAAAATCTAACTTTGAACACAAAATAACATTACAGCTTAACAATTATATCACATATCATTCGATTTACAAAATCATTTGTAGTACGTTCTAGAGTATTGCCATCCAGAGTAGGGCCTGTTGTAGCTTCCCCCTACAAAATTGGTTCCGTAACCGTCGTAGCCATCGGAGCCCCCGTATCCTCCGTAGCCACCGTAACCCCCAGTGCCTCCATAACCAGAGCCATAGCCTCCGTACCTATAAAAAATAAAAACAAATATTCAAATCGTTGCTTTAATGCAGAAGCATACAGGAGTGGCAAGGGGGGCAGCTACCCCCTTTTCCCTAGCTCAGCAAAAATTAAACTTTCATACAAAAAGTAAATTATTCATGTACAGGGTTCTCCACAAGCTGAATTAATATCTATTATGTGAGAAATTGTGAGGATTAGTTGAAATCTATACTAAGTGACATATAAATCCGAACACCCAGTTTAAATTGTTTTATTTCAATAAAAGTTGGTGAATGTATTTATCTTACTGTAAATAACAAGTGAAAAAATTTTCAGCCTTATCAGTTGGACATTCCGGTTTTTATACTGCTTTTTTTTAATTCACTAACGCTCTAAAAATGAATATTTCAGCCGCAGTAAAGAATCAACGTTGGCGGATTTTGGTTCTTGACATCCTGTACGATCGGTTACGATGCCTAGAGTACGGAGACCTGTACGATTTCGTCAACTTAGTGAGTTTGATAGGGGCCGTATAGTGGGACTTCGGGAAGCTGGACTTTCTTTTCGGGCAATTGCAGTTAGAGTGCAAAGAAGTGTAGACACTGTGGTTAGGTGTTGTCAGGCATGGCTTCGAGAAGGCCGTACGCAAAGAGCAAGGGGCACTGGACGCCGCCGTAGAACAACAGACCGTGAAGATCGCCGCCTAAGATTATTGGCCTTAAGGGACCGTTTCTCCACTACCAGGTCCATTCCAAATGAATGGTTTGCAGAACACGGAAGACCTATTGACATGCGAAGTGTTTACCGACGAATGAGAAGTTTTGCTTGTTTTCATGCCGGCCACACTGGGTCCTCCCTTTAACTGGAGAACACCGACGTAATCGCCTTGAGTGGTGCAGACAACGGTCACCCTGGGATCAGGAATGGAACAGTATTGTCTTTAGTGACGAGTCTCGATTTTGTTTAGGCATGCACGATGGTCGTGCCAGGGTTAGAAGGCGACGTGGTGAAAGGAGGAATCCATAGTTTTTTGTTGAAAGACATGTTCATCACACTGTTGGAGTTATGGTTTGGGGTGCTATAGCTTATGGTTCCAGGTCACCTTTAATCTTCATCAGAGGTAACATGAACGCGCAGCGTTATATCCACGAAGTTCTAGAACCCCATCCTTTACCCTATCTTGACACCCTGGCAGATCCAACTTTCCAACAAGATAATGCCCGACCGCATGTTGCAAGAGTCTCAATAGACTTCTTTCAACATAATGATGTCACATTGTTACCATGGCCACCAAGATCTTCCGACTTATCCCCAATTGAGCACGTGTGGGATATGATGGGTAGGAGATTGCTCAATTTGCAACGTCCTCCTCAGACTCTAGAAGCACTTCGAGAGAAGTTGGTGGTTGCCTGGAATGAGATACCACAGGAGGACATTGACCACCTGACCAGAAGCATGCCTAGGCGCGTTGGAGAATGCGTAGCACATCAGGGTGCATCCACACATTATTAAAGGTCAAAGGGCTTTAAAGCAGTGCAATCATTTAGAATTTTTTATCATTTACTTATTATGCTTCATCAAGTACTTATACAAAATTTTATTAAAATAAAACCATTTAATCTGGGTGTTCGGATTTATATGTCACTTAGTATATGTTGAATGAATGAATGAATGACATGAAATTAGAGGCATACCGGCCACCATCAGGAGCCAGCGCATAGTCCACTTAAACGGGCCCTTCTGCATATCTAAATTACTTAGACCTCAAGCAGCAAGTTGAGTATGGCCTTGAGTCCAAGCTCCTTAACGTCCAGGGGGTCCAAAATGATGGACCCCAGTATAGTCTGCATGTAGTAGCGAAAAGCCTCACAGCGATACAGAACGTGCGCCGAGGTCTCTTCCTCTACATCGCAATGCTCACACAAGGGATCCTCAGCCACACCCATCACGTGCAGGTGGTGCCTTAACGTGTTATGTCCAGACAACAGTCCCACTAGCAACTTTAGGTTGTCTCTATCCAAAGATAAGCAGAAACGTCCATCCTTAGCGCTGGGCCCTACAATGCGTTCCCGTGCCTGACGCAGATGTCTAGAGATGCTTCTCTATTGTCTTGCAATCCACTTCTCCATTTCCTCCTGACTCTTTGCGCGGGCGCCGCTAGGTCTGGCTCAGGACCAACAAGCTGGTCCGCTTATCCTGCTCTTGCAAGAGCGTCCATCATATCATTGCCCTTTACCCCAGCGGTCCCCGTTACCCACACTAACGATACCGGATGCCTCGCTGCTAGACAATCCAGAGCCTCTCTGCATTGAAATACAAGGCTCGAAGAAATCGTACAGGCACTTAGTGCCTTCATTGTAGCGTGGCTGTCGGAGAAGATTGTTATTCTTCTCCAAGGCCCTTCCACATATGAGGGATACATAAGCCAGAATCGCAAAGATTTTCGCCTGGAAAACAGTCGTGTATCCACCAAGAGGCAGAGATAGCCTAGTTCTAGGCCCAGAGACTCCTACGCCAGAGCCAGAGCCCTCTTCGATGACCGAGCCTTCGGCTACCGGCGTCCCACTCTTCCCTCGCTGGATACTCCACATTAAACTTGCGGTTGAAGCGATATTTAGAGGTAATTGGATCACCCTTGCTCAGAAGGACGGGAGCCTCCTTTTGCAGTTCGACTAAGATGGCAGTATGACCCTTGACTCCTTAAATCTATGTTAGATATAGCAACCTTAATTTTGCTAAAAGCACCACATTGAGGATCTCTGAAACGGCAAAGCGAATGTCTCACGATCAGTATCTACTGTGGTCTGTACCATCAGTGGATTTCTGAGTAACATTATGCACCAATAATGACCGACATCTGGGCTACAAGGTCAATAAATATCACATCTCATGATAAATATGCGACAAGGGGTACTTTATGGAGCAAGTTGCGTAGGTAAATAAAAAAAACTTATATTTCCTAATTTACTCTAAATCGTTTTTATTTTTTCCTGGCTTTGCAAATTTCAATTTACATTATTATAATTTCGATTTCAGCTCTCTGTTTTTTAAAATTATACCGTTTTCAATATTTTTATGATTACCATTAAATAATATAAATCAGTTAAATTAGGATGTTCTTCATTCGATGAGTTTAAACCAACTAGATGAAGTCAGGCACTTCAAGTTTTATATCATTGCGTAACATGTTACCATCTTTGATCTACTATGAAATAAATGACTATATGATAATTTCAAGGCTTACTCATGAATTTTTTTTGATAATGTATGACGTGAAATCAGAATTAAAATCTATTCGCCTATGCAAAAATGGCATACATAACAAAAATCAAAGTGGAGACGAAGGATAAGAGATGAAAAATTGGCAATGTTAATATGCAGTTTATTCTGAAATCCTATTTCAAATAAATTCAGAAAAAAATAGAAACGATTTTGGAAAAATTCATTGCCATTTCCCAGTATCTCTGGAGATACTGGAAGCGTCAAAACATTTCAAATGGATTTTCCAAAATATCTGAATAAGCAAATTTGCCACCATTCAACCAACCCTCTCTCATCCTTTTGGAGATCACAATGGTGAAAATGTGACAAATTTGTTTTTAAAATCATTCTAGAATAAATAGGTACATATCCTTTTAAATATTATATAAAAATATTTTTGGTAATATGACGAAATTTCAAGTAATTGTTGGAAACTTAATAAATGTCGACAAAGAGAAATTATTTCCGGAAAGGGTGTAGATTTTTACGATTTTTAAGCCTACAATTTGAAAAGTACCCGACTTCGATTTTTTTTATATTTTTCTGATAACTAAATATTGTGACTTCTATACGTAAATGCGTTGAATGTGTGTGCGTATAATATTGTTTTTATTATCAGAAATAGAAGTATAATTTTTGTACACATGATCAAGTGGCGATTCCTTACCCTTACTTTCTGAATTTAAAACAAAGTATTGCTTCTTAGTGGATGGCGATATATTATGATTCCATATACAGGGTGGTTCAGTTTATTGTTGCATAACTTTAAGATTCGATGGAACTTTTAAAATTAATGCATAAAGTCTATATAAACATGGGTCGAAAAATGCGTGGCTTCCAAAATACAGGGTGTTTAAATTTACTTTTGGTACGACAAAACGAACCATGGGCATAGTTTTACTGTAGCCGCTAGAGGGCGCTCTCTACTGTACCTGTGTATTAAAATGACCGAAAATTTTTTCTTAGTGCAATTTTTTGCTTTTTGAATAAAAAAACTGATTCTTCGCACTTTTTAACATAAAAAAGCTCTCTTGTGAATTTCCGTTATAATTAGCCGTTTTTGAGATATTTCGATTTTTAAGGTTCGATGCATTTTTAATTATTTATGATAAAATAACGTTAAAAAGTCAGTATCTCGATATTTTTTAGAAGTAGGGTGTGCCTGCAAATATTTTTGAAATTGAAAGCAGAATAAGGTTAAACATCAATTAGTTGACAGTTAGTTTTGTTGTCTGTTGAAACCTGAAACGTTTTTTTGCAATTGTGAATGCACGAAATTTAGTTTCTTGTACCTGTTTTTTTGTAAGTTTTATAAAAATTACTTTTGTATTCTCCAATCAAGAGTTAGCGGATATTCATTTTGTGTATGGCTTTGTAAATGGAAACGCAGCGGAAGCAGCCAGAGAATACGCACGAAGATTTCCAAACAGACGACATCCAACTCGCTCAGTATTTGTAAGAGTGCATCGCCAAATAATTGAAGATGGTTTTGGAAATCTCCAAAGGGATCAAAACATAAATGTTCGTCAGCGCAGATTTACCCGTATGATTCTGCGTGAGTTTGATAGATATCCGACCACAAGTGTTAGGAGGGTTTCTGGTGCCTTGGGAATTTCAACAAGCCATGTTCACCGTGTTCTTAGAAATGACCATAGACGTCCTTACCATTTGCAACCTGTGTAAGGACTACAGCCAGGGGACGGAGAACAAAGAATCACATTTTGTCAGTGGATTCTTGATAGAACTGATAATAATAGGGAGTTTTTTTTATGGACCGATGAGTCATGCTTCACTAGACGTGGAGTGGTAAATTTTCATAATCAACATATTTGGTCGCACGAAAATCCGCATGCAGTTCGGGAAAGAAATTTTCAGCATGAATTTAGTGTGAACGTGTGGATTTTTATCTACCGTAATCGACTATTTGGACCCTACCTTTTGCCTGCAAGGTTAAATGCTGCGACCTTCTTGGAATTTTTAAAGGTTGAACATGCAAATATGTGGGATGATGTTATGTTAGATTTAAGAAGATTGGCCTGCTTCCAGCTTGATGGTTGTCCAGCTCATTATTCGAGAATAGTTAGAAACTGGCTGGACGAAAATTATCCAGAAACATGGATCGGCCGTGGAGGACCAGTCGCCTGGCCTCCACGATCCCCTGACCTAAATCCACTAGATTTCTTTGTGTGGGGATTTCGAAAAGAAAAAGTGTACCAGACTCCCGTAACCACAAGATATATGCTAATAGACAGAATCAGGAGTGCATGTGATGAAATAAGGCCTTATTTGAATAATGCTATACCACGTCCGATCATTCGTAGATGTGAATTGTGTATTGAACAATTGGGTTTACGTTTCGAGCAACTACTTTAGATTTTGTATGTTTGTCCTAACTATCCAATAGTATTTTAATTGTAAATAATTAATTTAATTTGTTAAAAATAATATGGGAAAATTAAACAAATTAATATTCTGTTTTTTTTGTGTTTATTTGGAGTTAGGAATTATCGCTGTGTTTAAAAACACAATCTAAACGATCATCTTAATTACTTGTAATGCCCAAATCAAAAATGTAAAAAAAATATTATTTTCCCATAAATAATTAAAAATGCATCGAACCTTAAAAATCGAAATATCTCAAAACGGCTAACTATAACGAAAACTCACGAGAGAGCTTTTTTATGCAGAAAAGTGCGAAGAATCAGTTTTTTTATTTAAAAAGCAAAAAATTGCACTAAAAAAAATTTCGGTCATTTTAATACACTACAGGTACAGTAGAGAGCGCCCTCTAGCGGCTACAGTAAAACTATGCCCATGGTTCGTTTTGTCGTACCAAAGAACCCTTGTATACCAATTTTCACTGTTATACATCAAATATTGTTCGAAATATTTAAAAAAACTATTTTAAAAAGTAAATTTAAACACCCTGTATTTCAGAAGCCACGCATTTTTCGACCCATGTTTATATAGACTTTATGCATTAATTTTAAAATTTCTATCGAATCTTAAAGTTATACAACAATAAACTGAAACACCCTGTATAGTAAGTTCACAATCAGTGAAAAAAGAAAATATCGAATTTTGTTAGGGATACAAAACTCGGAAGTTTTTATTTTGATTCGAAAATATGGGAGTATGAAGTTTTTCCAAATTTTTTGATCTCAAATTTGTCAGGGCGCAGTTATAATATACATCATGCAATGTGTTTTTTAAAATCCAAATATTATCCAAATATATATTTAAATCTAAATAAAATAATTCCATAAAACTAGACAAATACCTTTACCTGAACTAATTAAACAAATTTAATAAATATAATTAAACCATTTTACTTGGAACAGGTAAACTCATTTTAATAGTTCATTTATTTTTAATAAATTGGTATACTCAATCTAGGTAAACGGTTTGTTAAATTTAATTAAACGATTCTGTTTTGATTCAATTAAACTAGTTTCATAGATTCAAGTAAGCTGTTTTAGAAATCGGTTAATTAAACAATTTAAACTTGTTAGCCGTCACATAGCGGATTAATTTTTTTAATTCGCCTAACTAAAATTATAATTGGTTTAATTGATTTTTTTCTCAGTGTAGTTGGTGTTGGCTATGATTTCAATGCTGATCAAAAGCATGAGTCAGATACAGCTATTAATTATCGTGGTAACAACAAAACGCTCCCAGAAGCCAATTAAATTGACTATGAATTTGTGATTATATCAAAAGACCAGTATGAGACTTTCATTATATCTTACCCAGAACCGTATCCACCATAACCTCCATATCCGCTGTATCCAGTTCCGTATCCGCCATAGTTATTGTATCCATACCCGCCATATCCAGGTCTGTTATAATAGCCACCTCCATAACCTGGTCTATACCCACTATACCCAGGCCTGTATCCACCGCCATAGTAACCGCTATATCCAGGCTTCTGGAAACCTGTGAAAATATAACGGGTGTTTCAAATTCGATCCTCACCATTGGGATCTCGTAAACAGTAAATGATACGGAGTGGCTTTAATTGGGGTAAATTTGCGTCTCGATACCGTTTCGTACCGATGAGGTGTCAGTGATCCAGTTCTCTTCTACCGCCAACAGGTTTTGCTCCTCAGAGCTCTCTTCCATGATGCCGTTGTGAGATGTGTCTGCCAGACAGACCCGCCTGACTTCGGCCTCCCATCCTAACCGTATCGAACTTCGTACATCCCTCCATCCATCGTGGCTGAGACGCTCCTTCGTCCGTAGGGTATCGAGATTGTGGAATAATATACCTGAGGAGGCTTTTCTCAATTCTTCTAAGCTTAGGCACTTCAAAAATCGGAATAAAATTCTACCTACGCGACTGTTTCAGTATAAAAAAGTGTTTGAGGATGAGGAATTTGATTATACGTTATGTTAGTCATTATTCAAATGGGTAATAGGGAAGGTCAGAACAAGTCAAAAAGTTCATATGACCCATCGTTCAAAAGTCAATAGATTTTTGTCTAAATGGCTTTATAGTTTACAACTTCAAGTGCTTTAGGTATATCGACCACAATCACCACAATCTTAATAATTTTTATAATCTAATCTAAAGCGTTTTTTAATTGGGTAATTAACAAATAAATAGCATTAAGTTTTTCTAAGTTAAGCTAAAATTTGTAGTCAGTAAGTAAGTTTCATTAAATTAAATATTTAAAACGCACATGACAACAGCGCGTCGATCATCCATCACCCTTATCGAACCGGCAATCGATCGCAAACGGTAACAGTGGGTAGTTATTGTTCGCGTACGTCGTCGTGTTTATGTACAATGTTCTCGAATCAAGAGTTCGCCGACATGTTGTTAGTTTACGGTGATGCTCGTCAGAATTCAAATCTTGTAGCTCAAATTTATCGCCAACGGGTACACCCAGACAGAAGGACATTTGTGCAAGTATACCAAAGACTTCGAGATACAGGAAGTGTTCAGCCCACTAACATTGGCACTCGTGAAAGACAGGTTACTGTAGAGCAGGAGGAACAAATTTTAAATATCGTGTAAATATAAGGTAAAGCGCTAAGCAGTGGCGAAGCGTCCATGTAACCATTGTTACCATTGGTAACAGTTAGAAATCTTAGAAATAAATATTTTATGAGTAAGTACTGTGAAATAATTTCATTTATTTGTTAACCAACAGCGATATGTAGTAGTAATTCATTTTTATTTATGGATACACTTGGTAGTCCGTCGGGGACCGTCGGTACCGGCTCGTGTCTGATCGCGGGCGCTTGAGTACGTGGGGCGTTGCGACTATAATGAGGGCTTGTTACCATTTTTTGATTTGGTTACTCACTTCTCACTCGTTCGTAGCCGTTTTGGTTACCGGCTGTAGTGTGCGTGCAATTAAACATGGATGAGTGTCGCTGTGTAATCGATCAACTACTTGAAAAGTCATCCTCCTTGTATAATTTTTAAGGAAAAAAGGAGATCATTGAAAATGGAAGACCAACACCTATTTTAGATGATTTTAAAGAGGAATAAAAAAACGTGGTTTGATATTTTAAATTATGTTGGTATATGGGAACTCTTGGTTATGTGGTTGCAAAAAACACGATTGTATTGTTGTTTTATACAGGAAAAAATGGGTGAACCAGCAGCGTATTTTATATTTCAACGTAAAACGTATATGGCGCTAGTTGCAGTCTAAAATTCCGCTATCTCATGTCACGATTTTTTTGCAAGAAAAATGGTTTGCATTTATTTCAATTAATATAGATTTGCATTTCAACAGGCTTCATACAGTCAAATCGCAGTAAAAGACCGCGACAAATAAGAATGCTGCCTGACATCAGTTTTCAATAAGTACATGAAATGGTTTCCATTCTTAGTTTTTTTTTTTAAATAAAACAGTAAATAATAACAACAAACCTATGCCAGCCGATCCAGAGATTCCAAAGTATGGTGCATCGTAAGTTCCTGAACTGAGGTATGGACTGACGTATCCATAGCGAGATCCTGATCCATAACCGTAGCTTGATCCATATCCGGTACCCACAGTGTCGCTGGAAAGACTAGCTTTGCTTTGGACAGTCGCTATTATTGCACAAACCTGGAACAATATCATTTCGAAACTAAGAACCGTCTTTTACTGGCCAATATCCCAGGGCTGCCAGACATTACTTATTTTCTGAAGAACTTGCCAGGTACAACAGGCATTGAAATTAAATATTCTATTTATGTTCATAGAATATACGCGACTCAATGCCCCACGTTTTGTCTGTCAAAGAAAAAGTTGTCTGGCAGCAGTGCAGCTCTAGGATCTTACCCCAGATACAGGCAAATTAGAGGTTAGATTCAACACAATAAAATATGAAATAAAATTGGCGTCAAGTCATAAAATACTAAGTTCGTCTCAAGTTAGTCGCTTTGAGTTAGTTATAAAAATGTATAGCTTCCATTCATTTTATAACGCTAACGATAGTTTCTCCCTGCCCTAACTACCGACCATCTGGCAACTCTGCTGAACCACACCAGCCATACACATCATAAGTACCAGCCACGATACTATAACTTAGCTTCCCTCGAAAATGGTGATGAGTTGCTTAGTTTCAAAGCCCGCTAAATCCATTTTGCAACCAAATTGAGATAGCAGTGCAACGTGAAGGCTGCCAGTCTAAATCATGTTTTGGGTCCTAAACTACGTTTCACAACCTGCTAAATCACCTTCCGAACCGTTGTTCATTTCTCTTGTTGGTTTCAGAATCCCCTAATTCCATAAGTGAGTGAAGTCCAAAACCGCATAATATTTGGATGTATACTAAAAACCTGAGAAACCTAAGTTGTATGTTTTGGTGCGCTTCTATACACACGACATGTTAGATTATAGTTCATTTCACATAACATATTAATAAATTTTGACGGTCAGTTCAACCAGTGAGGGAGACCTTATTGAAATTTAATTTGAAGCAAACCTCACAAAGGTATCTGAATCGGAAAGTTTAAAAGCGTGAATTAATTGCTGTGCAAACATTTTGAAGCCGACTGGGAAAAATTTCGGAAAGGTAGTGGAAGAAGATGATAATTATGGCACAGAAAATGGAGCCGAAGAGTTATGTGGGGAAGGTCACGTTCAGGAAGCTGATATTGTTTAATTTTTTTTTTGAGAATCATAGTATATATATATATATATTATATATATATACATGTATATAAAGAGAAAAGTATCGTGCTGAGAAAGGTATATAACAAAATAGGAAAATAATGGGCAAAATCCGCAAAAAGGAGGAAAGTGGATTCGAGCAGAAAATAGGATAGGTAACCCGAGCGATACGTATTTCTGCTGGTTGGCTTCATCAGGCCCGAAATGAATGCACATATGCAACTACAAAAGTAGAGACACATGCCCTTACATCCGGATACGGGTGTAACCTGAGGAAACAAAGATGGAGAGGAAAAAAAAGACACAAGAAGTCCACAACAAGAGCCAACCTACACATTGTAGTATACAATGGCTGGAAGACCTCGAATTTTCAAGGCGGCAAATAACCACAACCACGCGGCCGGTTATAGCCACTTGCTGTGGTACTTCAAGCCCTTTCCTATTTTGTTATATACCTTTCTCCGCACGATAATTTTCTCTTTGTAGATCCTTTGGGCTTGAAGTAGCCATTGTATACTACAATGTGTAGGTTGGCTCTTGTTGTGGACTTCTTGTGTCTTTTTCTTTCCTCTCCATCTTTGTTTCCTCAGGTTACACCCGTATCCGGATGTATGGGCATGTGTCTCTACTTTTGTAGTTGCATATGTGCATTCATTTCGGGCCTGATGAAGCCAACCAGCAGAAATACGTATCGCTCGGGTTACCTATCCTATTCTGCTCAAATCCACTTTTTGCGGATTTTGCCCATTATTTTCCTATTTTTGTTATATATATATATATAATACTACACTGGTATGCTATTTTTTAGTTTCTTAGTTTCAAGATAATGTATCCGGAATGTGACCATTGGAATATAAATTGTGAAGCAAATCCCTCTAAGTCAGAAATGATTTTCAGAAAAGCAAACAAAGCTAAATCGAAGAAAATTAATTTGTTTTTCAAAAAACTATTATAGTAATAATTATGATGTTTATTGGAATAATGTACACAAAATCGCTATTTTACAATAAACATAAAATACCCAAAGAAGTTTGAAGTTGTGCTTAAGTTCGTATCAGAATGAAAAAAAGAACATAGAAATAGGTAAATGCACCAACGGTAAATGATACAGGTATTACACTGTAATTAAGTTTATAAATTTATATTTTTTTAGGTGCAAGATTCGGATCAATTATTCAGACAGTTTTCGATGTCTAACTGATTGTGCAGAATATTTCTCTATAAATACAGTTCAAACATAGATACACCAATATGTATGGATCGAGTTTCTTGGTTGCTGTATGACTTGGGACTAAAAAAACGGGATCTTTGTCCGATGGTTCTTGTAGGTTTTAACACAGATACTGAATTTTGTTTGAACCTTTTTTGATAGTTATGATTGATTGGACTCAAATGCATCTTATGTTTAATGTGGTACATCAATCCATTGTAAAAGTAGATTTGTTTAACGTCTGGGAGTTGAGGTTCTAAGTAGAGATTATCGGTTAAACATGTATCCACTTCTATGCGATTTCAATCTTTTCATAGTAATTGTTCATGAGTTCTCCCTATGCTAATATACCATAGAATAGGATAGACTAGAGGGTGTTCCTTAATGATATGCGAATATTTAAGGGTGTGAACCTACATGAAAAATTAATGTTAGTTTGCTTTATAAACTACGGTCCAAAAATGTTTCCTTACAAAAACTCGGGGTGTTGAAGTTTTAGGAAAAAAATCGAAATTAATTAATAAGGACGTACAGAAATAATTTTTTCATCGAACAGCCTCACAAAAATTAACATATTCAAAATAGTACATCTTAATGTATGTAGCATACCGAACAAATATGACGCTCTCGATGTTTTTGTTGATGAGACAACACCTGATGTACTATGCCATGGCTGTCGTCTGATGCAGCAAGTGTAGCTAATATTAAGGGGTATACAAACGCAGCAACTGCAGAAGCCAATATATTCATGGTGGTTGTGCTGTATTCGTGGAACAAGGAGTGACTACCAAGGATCTTCCAGATGTCAAGAAAATTGAGGCAAGTCTGTCCGTCAAGTCATCCCGGCAAGAAGAATGGGCCAATAAAGTGGTTGCCAATAATTTCTGCCCATACGTTAACCGAAAATTGGTGTTGGAAATGGGTTTCGGTTATGGCATAGGGATTTTCTTCTGCCCACAAATGATTATTGTGGAAATTCTGAATGGAATTTTGAGAAAAATTAGCTTCGTCCGTGAACAGAATCATTGATTCAAATTGCGGATTTTGTGTAATTTTTTGGAGATACCACTAACAAAAGGTCTCACGCCTTGGAAAATCGATGGGAAGTAATGCCTGTACTCTTAAAATATGGTAAGGGTATAACAAAAAATCCACTAAAATTCTCCAAACAATTTGACGGCAAATATTTAAGTGTCGAGCGATCTCGTACTCGTTTCAGGATGTTCTTCGACTTCGTGCAGCACTGCTTCCCCAATTTCAGGTGTTCTCACACTTAGAGGTCTACCTTCAGATGTTCCTTTTCGGACAGAACCAGTTTCAACAAGACGACGATGAATATTAAAAAAGGTTCGACTATCTGGCAAAGCACGATCGGGATATTTCTGGTGATAAATCCGTCTGGTTTTTGTCACCATTACCGTCGGCAAGGTCATATACGTAATGCATCTCCGCCATTTCTGCATTTGAATAATTCACCATTATTAACAAGATTGTAAAAACTAAATAATGAAAAATATGTCACAGCTAACAGATTTTAATAACAGAGACTTGTCAGATATCAAAAGCCAGTGGCATATTCCAGAGCAACTAGATATTTATTGCTAAAATGCATTCTTCAATTAATTATTACATTAATTTTCTCAAACAATAGAACGGTTTTTATTTTTTTACTCAAAAATGGCGCATCAAAGGGAAACAATTCAAGAGAGATCATTTGTTTTAAATTAAATGGGAAATTCAAAAATACTTTTTATATGGCAAAAAACCATTGGCGTACCATTTTTTTCTTGGAAAATGTCGAAGTCAATACCCGTACGCACACCACTGTTAAAGCTAAAAATTACTAATGCATTGAAAAATATGCAACTTTATTAACTTTCACTACGTACTAAACATCAGTGAAATATCTGAAGCGGTTCTGAAAATATTAATTAATTTCCATTTTTTTCCTAAAACTTCAGCAGCCCGAGTTTTTGTAAGGAAACATTTTGGGACCATAGTTTATAAAGCAAACTAACATTAATTTTTCCTGTAGATTCACACACTGAAATATTCGCATATCGTTAAGAACACCCTGTATAGGTACATTGTTCAAAAACTCACGAAAATACTTAAACTTTGGGGTAAGACATTTAAGTCTCTTCTAGGACTAGAATCTTTGTGTGTGCATTCCAGTTTAAATTGTCTAGTATTAAACCTAAGTATTTAATTTTGTCGCCCAACTGGATTTCTTTATGATCATATTTTATTTCAAATTTGAGTTTACTGTTATTTGGAGAGCGTCTTTTATCAATGCCATAAAGTTTTTTATAATTTATAGTCATATTTCTTTCTGAAAAAATTATAACTGCTCTAAAATTGTTTTCAATTTCAACAGTTATAAAGTTATTGAAGTCATATTTTCTCAGACATTATGTTACCACCTACCAATTTCTGCATGCTCTGAAGAGGACTTGGCGGTATCAGATATTGAAATGTGTATTATCAAAGATCTAGTTAACATGTACCTGAAGCAGTTTATACTTTTTCCATATTTTTACTTGACAAAATTCGGTAATACTCTGTATAAAAGCATTAAATTACATACAACAAATACCCAGAAAACGAATTTTTAATATTGTGACAAATAAGCGTAAAGAAATTATTTGTATAAATATTGTTATTGTTTTTAATTATTATGTGACATAAAATTGTTTGATGCGTTGTTTTGCCGGCAAGGTGTGGTCTCTGTGGTTGGACA